AAAAGGAAATCATATTCTGATGTATGAGGCATACAGAACTCCAGCCACCTACAACCAAAACAGAAATACATCCAGGCATATAATAATCAAGATCCCAGAAATTCAATATAAGAACAGAATATTAAAAGCTGTTAGAGACAAGAAACAGATAACCTATAAAGGAAGGCCCATCAGAATAATGGCAGACTTCTCGACACACACCATCAAGTCAAGAAGAGCTGGAGCGAAATATTTCAAACCCTCAAAGAAAATAACCTCCAGCCCAGATTGATATACCCTAAAAAACTGTCTCTAGAAATTAATGGAGAAACAAGATGCTTCTAAGACAAAGAGGAACTTTGGAAATTCACAAACACCAATCCAACCCTACAGAGAATACTGCAGGGCATTCTAGAGAGAGAGAAAAGTACTAGGATTCCAGGAACAGTGGCAGAGTGGCCTCAATGAATGGAGCAGAAAACAGAATGAAAAAGATAAGCAGACAACTGATGTCAAAAAAAGAGCATAATAGAAATGAGGCAGAGAAGGTTAGTTATTTCTAATATAGATGGCCTTGATACACTAAATTTAAAAAAAAGAACCACACATGGAGTAGATCAAGAGGCAGGGTCCTCCGAGATGCTATTTATAGGAAATATAACTAAAATGAGAAAGAGTACATGGACTGAAAATCAAATATGAGAAAACAATGCTTTATGTGACAGAGAACCAGAGACTAATAGGGGCAACTAGACCAGTATTTGTGGACAGGTTGGAAAGACAGGCTTTAATAGGTAAAGGAATACAATTAGAGATCAAGTCAAGGAAAGAGAAGGTTCAGAACCACTTAGGTAAATAGCAGGTTGCCCACCCCCGGGACCCCCCAATTTAAAACCAAGAGTCTTGGTCAGACCCAAAAATGCAGTGTACCCTGGAAAAGTGAAAGGGAAAATAGTCTTAAAGAAGATGGCAGAAGATATTGTTAATAGTGTATCAGGATTTAAAACCCACATTACTCGTACCACTCTGCTTAGATAGATTTTATTCTGTCCCAGTTTGTCTACTTGCATTAGATTTGAGGGCAGACAGCTATCCCAAAAACAACAGGATATAGCACAGTAATCATCTTTAATTTCCTATTAACTTAATCTGGAACCCTGTATGACTTATACCATTTTATCATGACTGATCTTAGTTAAATCTGGTTTGTTTGATTGCTGTTTGGTACTGACAGATTTTATTCAAAACTGATATGATTGATAATATCAAGTCTGAGAGTATAGGCAACTACACTGAAGATGACAAGACTCTACAATACACATTCTGGTTTGATAACTGCCTGCTTTTGAAGTTTTATACTATATACAAAGTTGTATTTTTATTAATACTGTTATGTACTGATATATTCAATTATACTATGTCTGATGATATAGCCAATTCTATTGAAAATAACAAGAGACAACACAGGAACTATAATAGAACTCCTTGTACAATGGTCTTATATGTCTTTTTTGTTTCATGTGTTTATAGGAATATGTTTTGTCTTGCTTTGTTTTGTTTCTCCTTCTAATATAGAAAGGCTAGAAATACATGTTAAGACTCAAGCATGTGTAGAATCTATGAACAGTTTATGAGAACTGATCTTATGACACATGATGAAATGAACAGATACTCTGAAGAGAAAGAGACACTAAAGTACCCAATGCTGATCCTAGAGTCTTATAATGTGAAACCTAGCGATAGTATTATTCTTTGTTCAGGGTGATATTAGCCGCCTTGGGTTTATTCAATCTCAACATAATAGAAGATATAGATAACTGCATGTATGTTTAAGTGTATAGGATTGATAACCATATTTCTAAGTTTTGTTGGATAGTTGAACAGAAATGGTTGTAATCTCACTGTTTGAATCCCCACTTTATATGCTTCAATTTAGTATCTTGAATAACTATTTATAAGAGGACAAACTATAATCATCAACTTGTGATTTCTTACTGTTTATTTTTTTCTTTGAAAGTATATATTATTTCTACCTGTTTTCTGTTTTGATTAGTCTTTCTTTAAATAAAATTTTTTAAAAAAAGACACTACAGTACCCAGTGCTGATCCCGGAGAGTCATGATGTGAACTCCAGCAATACTATTATTCTTTGTTCAGAATGACTTTAGCCTGCTTTAGTTTGTTTAATCTCAACATAAATGAAGATATGGATAACTGCATGTATGTTTAAGTGTATAGGATGGACAACCATATTACTAAGTTTTTGTTGGATAGCTGAACAGAACTTTTGTAGTCTCGCTGTTTGAATTCTCACTTTATATGTTCCACTTTTGTATGTTGAACAACTATTTGTAAAAGGACAGTATGTAAACATCAACTAGTGATTTCTTACTGTTTATTTTTTCTCTGAACGTATGTATTGTTTCTACCCATTGTTTTATTTCTTTAAATAAAATTTAAATAAAAATGTTTTAAAAACCAGCTGGCTGTGGCACAGGTTCACCACCACTGTTCTATAGCAATGCAAAGATTCTCAATCCTTAAAATACCTATATCTACTCCTCCGAATAGTCAGTTTTAGTGCCGTAGTTTAGCCAAATACACACTGTTCTGAAAAATACTATCATCAGAGATGACAAGAAACCCAAATAAATTCAATTTAATTGATAATGATGTAATTATTCAAAATTGGATTACATACACTTGAAATTTTCCCTTTATGTCCATGCTGTATTTAAAGATGTCTCAATAGGTGAAAATTAACACTCTTAGCCTATTCAAGGGTCACCTGACATGCTACATGACCATTTCCTACACACACACACACACACACACACACACACACACACACACACAAATTAAGATGTCTACACTCCTTAAAAAGCCGTCACTTGAGGAACCAATGCTTACTTGAATCATGTTTAAAATTCTTTTAAAATTTCCCTTGTGTATTATGTAGCAAAATCTGTTTACAGACTCTTGAAGGAAGTGATTCCTGGTGACTTGACTTTAATAAACAGAACTTTTAAAAATGATTATAATTAAAGGACCAAAAACAAATACCGGAGGAAAGATGCAGAATATTGAATCTCTACCCATACCTCTCTCATAGTGTACTAAATTAAACTCAAAATGGATCAATCAATTAAATGTTAAAACAATCTACTGGGAGATAAAATAGGTAAAACTACTAAAGACATATGGCATAGGCAAGGACTGTCTGAACAGAATTCTAGTTGCATACGAAATAATCTCAATAAATAAATAAATACATGAGATCATATCAAACCAAAAGGTTTCACACAGCAAAGAAAACAATCAATAGAGTGAAGAGACAACCCACAACATAGGAAAAGAAATCTGACAGCTAGTCTGCAGATGAAGGACTAATATGTACAACATACTAGGAATTCATCCCACTAAACAAAAAGACCCAATCAAAAAACAGGCAACTGAAATGAAAAGACACTCAGCATAAGAAGAAAAAGTGGCCAATAAATACATGAGAAAATGCTCAATATCTCTGGCATTAGACAAATTCAAATTAAAATCACACTGAGAGTTCATCTTACTCCAGAAAAAAAAGGCTATCATCAAGAAGTCAAATAATAACAAATGGACATGAGGCTGGAGTGACAAAGGAAACCCTTCTGCACTGTTGGTAGGAATGTAAACTAGTACAATCACTATGGAGATCAGTATGGAGATTCCTAAAACCAAAAACTAGAAACTCCATTTGATCCAGCTATTCTCTGTCTAGGTATTTTTCCAAAGGAGTTAAAAAAACCACATTATGGCCATCCACACATACCCATGTTTATAGCAGCATAACAGCTGAACCTTGAAAGCAGCTTATTAATCCATCAACAGCCAAATGAATTTTAAAAGTGGCATTTATATACAATAGAGTACTACTCTGCTATAAAGAAAAATAAATTTGAGGCATTTGTAGGAAAATCAATATACCTTGAGACCATTAATGTTAAGTGAAATCAGACATCAAGCTTAAATATTGCATGGTTTCCCTTATATAAGAAACCCAAAGTATAAATAAAGGGCAAAATAAAAGACAAATAGGAAACAGACCTTTTGCAAATGGAAGGTGGACGAAGAGATAAAAGGAAGGGAAAGAGAAAGGAAGGAGTTGAAAAAAGAATCGAGATGTGTGATGTACATGTACCAACTTCCCAGGAGAAATGTGATCATTATCTACTACAAATATGTACTAATAAAAATGAAATTAAAATTAAAAAATCAGAAAATCACTGTCATTGTCCACTCATTCACAAAACACAGTTCTTTACAAATAATAATTTAATCTTCAAAGGACAAAGACTAAGATAGGAGCATCTAACACATGTTCTGTAGACACTTTCAAACAAGAAATGTAGAAATATTGAGAGCATCAAAGTCACATCAGATCTCATTTACTTAGGCTCTTAATCCCTCAACATTCAATAAGCATCCAGTACAGCAGGTAGTGGAGAATATCTTATGTGGACTAGTCCTCACTGAGATATAAAAGCTCTGGTGTGCTTTTGGAATAAAAAGTCCCACCCCATTTATGGCCTGCTAGAATTAGTTAACTGACTGCCTATAAGCTCAAATAGTTTTAACACTGGGTTACTGGGGTCAAGGCTTAAATTCTCATGTGGGAGAATTAAATGAGCTCTGTTTCACGGCCAGATCAGATGCTCAGCTCAGGGCAGCCACTCTGTAAATGTATACATCTGACCACAAACTGGTCAAGAGAGCAGGAAATAAGTCACCAAATCTACCACCCACATAAGAATAACAACTAAAAGCATATGGCCTACTAACATCTATATTACAATTCCCACTATTACACAATCTATCTCTGTTTTGCATGTTTAAGAATTTTAGAAAGGGGCAGGGGATTTAGCTCAGTGGCTCAAGTGCCTGCCTGGTAAGCACGCGGTCTTGAGTTTGTTCCCCGGTACCAAAACAAAAAACAACAACAAAAAACAATTTTAGATGATGTGAGTTATAATCATACATACCTCAAAATGATGATCAATCAACTCAAAATATTCCTGAAGGGGCATAGATCCAGAAAAAGAACACGAAAAATCTTTGATTCCCTGTTTTTCAAAATATTCATGAAGGCGAAGAATAAGCTCATTTATTATGAGCCAAAGATCTTCAAATTGTTCACTCTGAATACGGTATCGTTCTAAGAAAAAATAATTAAGGAAAAATGCTTATCAATGCATCATTACCATCTGAAAAATATGTAAATTATCACTAAATTTGAAAAGTACAAACAACTATTGTCTTCATTTATAACATTATCTATATATCTAAATCAAGTATGTTTTAAGTCTAAGATGTAAAGTTCATAGTGATAACACTACCTAATTTTAATATATACAAAGTAAATAATGGGCAAACACTTTTAAATCCTAAGACCAATTTAGAAAGAGATGTTAAATTTTAAGCATTTTATGTATAATGTTTATGTTTTTATTGTATAAAAAGTGTTTGCCCATTACTTACTTTATATATATTAAAATTATGTAGTTTTAGCTCTATAAACTTAACTTTTCATCTCAGATTTATGGCATACTTGATTTAGATAGATAGATTATGCTATAAATGAAGATAAGTTGATTTATACAATAAAACTGGACATAATGGGCAAACACTTTTTATACAATAAAAACATAAACATTATAGATAAAACACTCAAAATTTGGCATCTCCCTCTAAGTTGGTCCTACCATTTAAAACATAATCTATGTTTACTGGCTTTGATTAAACAAGCAGTTCGTTATACAAAAGAGACACACTTGAGTCTTGGACAATAAGTCTATTTGTGCTCCACAGTACTGTTTCCTAAATATATAAAACCTCTAAAGACGTTCCCTAATTCTTGTCGGGTGCAGTTACATCTTGTAAACCTGTTTTAAAAAAAAATCTAAATTCTGTCATAATTGGAAAAAACTAATAAATATATAGAAAGATATATATATAGCTGTGATACTAATTATTGCTAACCTCACAATGTATTAAATCTATTCATGTTTTCTAAGTATACAGGCCTTCAAACACTCAAAGCTGAAAAATGTCTTGTAAGTCATTTCTCATGGTACAATTTCTTATTAACATTAACGACTATGTTGTAATGATACGTGATTTATAGTTATTAAGGAACATTTCAAAAAGTTTTGAAACCTTCTCTGAGTTCCATGCATATCTCAAAAGTTCCTACATATAAAGATCTTTAGGGTAGCCAGGCATGGTGGCTGTAATCCCAGCACTTGAGAGGCTGAGGCAGGAAGATCGCCAAGGGTTTGAGGTCAACTTGTACTACCTGAGTTCAAGCCCAGACTGTACTACATAGCAAGACACTCTCTCAAAACAAAATAAGGCAAAACAAAATAAAACAAAACAAAAAAAGCCTTAGGGTAAATGTTTGAGTGAAAGTTCAGGTGTTCTGTACAACTCTTTTTCATGTCTTCCTGATCTGATGATGTTTATGTGTCCTCTGTGTCAGAAACAAGGATGCTCATTCTAGGAATGAGCAACAGATCTGTGTAAGACTGGCGGGGATGCTTAGACTAGCCAGGAAAAAGAGACAAACTAATTAATCTTGGTTTACTATGGGCTACACATGCATGCAATGTGAACCGAAGATAAGGTGGGCAACTTACACAGCCTAACTATGAGACTTAGACAAGAACCTATCTTTCTTTTCTTTCTTTTTTCTTTTCTTTATCCCTTTATCCTTTTCCAACATTACACAAGTGCAATCTCAAATGCGTAAAATACGTTTTAAATTATTACAGAGTAGCTTAACATTTGTCCTGAAAACATCATCCTCAGATTTTATTTTATAAACTTGGGACAAATTTAAAAGCTTTTAAAAGGTTGATTTTTCTCCAAATGTAAGTTAAAAGAGTAAAAAGAGAAAGGTTCAAACTTGGTTTTATAACAAGGAGAGAAAATAAACATATATCCATCTAACAATTTATGGCTCTTCTCTGTGATAAAGTATTTACTACTAAAATAAAAATTTAAATATACTTTTAGATATAAAACATCACAATACTTGTATATTTGTTCAATTCCCAATTTTCCCTGTAAAACTTTATGATAGCTTTTTTTGTTAAAATAATCACAGTTGAAGAAATGACAGTTCACTGGCAATACTTAGTATTTTAAAGTGTTCAGTGTCCAGACCAGATTATGAGAGTTAAACCTCCTGCTTCTACTTCACTAATGGTGTAACTGACCTCTTGAGTGTTCAACAACTGAGGCTTGCAGACCAAAACTAAACCAAAGCTAAGCAAAAAGATATCTAGGCCAAAAGAGGAGCCGGGCCTCCAAGGTCAACAAGGACCCAAGGTATGAGGAGACCTCAAGAAGATCCTACAACTCTAGTAAGTTACAACCTCCTGATCTGGGAGATTGTCACACCCAAGTGAACAGGTGTCAACCAATGCACATGGCGTCAACAGAAGAATCACTAAAAAGAAAAAAAATATTTTCTACACTTCCTAGGGAAGCCATGTGGTCAAGCAAGACCATGATTTATCTTCAGGTGACACTGACAGAGAAGTTGAGAGGTTCTGTTCATAGTCCCAAAGATAACCCCTGAGGAGCTTTAACTGACCTTAATATATAATAAGAGGCTAAGTTTGATTAACATTGGTATCACTTTTACTTGGTCTGAAACACCCAGCAGAAGAGAGTAACAGTACCACTGTAGTAACCTCCTGACTGTCAAACGGGGAGGAGGCTATATCTATCCTAAAAGAGAAATGTTGAGTTTTAAGTCAACCAATCTAAATTAGTGAGAGATACAGAACATAGGAGTAAAATTCTAAAATGACACTGTCTTGCTTGGCATCTGAGCTCCACTTTGTGGTAACTATATGATGCCCAACAAGGTTTTAACTATATTGCTCCCTTGGTATCCAGAGGTGACCAATGAAAGCAGCTCTGCAGATACTAAAATCTGCAAATGCTTAAGTCCCTTACATAAAATGCTGTAATATCAGTATCAGCATACAACCTGTCACTCTCCACCTGTATATTTTAAATCATTACTAGATTATTTATAATACTTAAGGCAATGTAAATATTGTTACACTATATTATTTAGACAACAATGACAAAAACAAGTTGCTACATGCCCACTACGGAGACAATTGTTTCTCAGATATTTTCAAGCCATAGTTGGTCAAATCTAAGATGTGGACCCTTCAGATTTGATCATTCCAATCAGTAACTGTCTCTAGATTTCCTGACTTCATTAAAAGGCTGAGTGATCTCACAACATGATCTTCCAGGCATTGAAAAAAAAATTCACTGATCTCTAAAAACCTCTCTCTCTCTTCCTGGAATGCTCTCCACTTATATCCTACTCATTTCACAAAATTCTTTACAAATAAAATCTCCTAAGAAGCCTTATTCCTTTGAGATCCAATAATACTAAAAGTGACTTTCTGTAAGCACAGCAAGAGATTGATTCCCATCACCTGTTTTTCTCTTCTACTATTAGTCCTGGAGCTCACCAGGTCACAGCAGTCTTACTATCTCATCACTCTGCTGAGTGGCAAAGGAGCATGTTGTGCTCTGTCCAGGAGGAGTGAAATAAGGTTCTCACATCCTTTGATTCAAAGACATTCTGACTACCGTAATTCAGCATTATATGGCTTTCTTTTGGTAAATGCAAAAGGAACACTTTTTTCAAGCCCAATTCTTGTTCATATGCATGATTAAAATTCTGCCATTGTATCTGCAACAAAATAATTAATATGGATAAGCAAAAGCCTTCTAAACTAAACTTGATCTTCTTCAGTTTGCCAACCCTCTCTGGCACATTATAATCTTTCAGAATATTGAAAAGTCCTATCTATCTTCTATCTTTGCCACTTTTCAAATGCCTCCTGAGGTATCACAAATTTCTTCTTTACAATTGCTCAGCCCTACTCTGTAGAATGAGACTTTGTGCCTACTCAGAATTCTTTATTGATTACCAATGTGACTGGGTTTAGAATTCTAAACTGAAAATTACTGCCATATGTACGATCTTGGAGAGATGTCTCCATTTTCCTGTAACAAATAATGGTTCCAACGAAAGTTAAATGCCATCTTGATTTAAGTCTCTTGAATGGCTTGAGTTTTCCTTTCTAGTCTTTAACAGTATGTTACTGGACCTTAGTGCTCTAAAGTTTCATAAGAATGTGTCAGTGTGTTTCTTTTTCTCATTCATTTGGGCTGAACATCAAAATAGACCTTTTCAGTATCTACAACTGTGCCATTTCCTTTCCTGGTCTCTGCCCTAACAGCCCACTCCCACAGTCTCACCTTGACTGAGGAGCTCATCACTGTGATAGCTTTTGACAACAGCAATGGATGAATTCTCTAACTACTATCTTTTGTTTGTCTTGTTCACTAGCTTGGGAATTTCTACTATTTTGACTTCTCAGATCTTGGAGATTTTTTTGGTCCACAAAAATAATTCATTGTTCAGCCTAAATCAATTTTCCCCACCTTTATATCTCTCTTTATCAGCTCAGACTTGTTAGTCCATCATTATAACCACACTTATAAAAATGTTATCTGCAATTTTGTGTTTAAAATTTGAGATCTGTTTTAGCTACTTGGACCCCAATCAACCAATCACTTTGCCAGGAAAATTACCTAACATGGATGACTGGCTTCACTTCAAAATACAAGCAAGACCTGATTGTTAAATGGAAATTCAACACTGCCTGTTTTCCTCCTGTGTTGCTATTTTATCCTCCAGGAAACCAATGTCATGCCTTTTTTTCAAATTTAAACATCATTAAAGCTCCTTGTCTTTCCATCGACAAATACATAAAGTCTCCCTGGACATTACCCAATCCCTCCATTTACAGAGGAGCTGTGAAAGTGTACTCCTTGGGTTTGGGTTTAGCTCTGTGGTACAACAGCTGTTTAGCATGTGCACAGTCCTGGTTTCAATGCCCAGCAAAAGAATGGGGTGGGAGAGACATTCGTCTCATTCCCCCTCCTCAAGAATTTTACTGCTTTGTGGTTCACTTCTTGATCATCACTTCTGCTGAACTCAACCATTTCAATGACTAATCAAACATGTTCTAATATGTTCATTTTAAAACAAAGCCACAACTCCAACATCTTATTCCTCAACTCCGAGTTATTGGATTTAATTGTCCAATCTTTACTGAAAACACTATATACAAGTGGTGGCAAACCTATGACACACATAATATTATGTTTTTCATTTAAGACAAAAGATGTTAGTGTAAAGTTTTTTCTAAACTAAAATCACAGTATTAAGGCTTAATTGCAGTACAGGCACTTTGTAATTAACAAGTGGATTTTAGGTTACAGTTTGGCACTTGGTCTCTAAAAGGTTTGCCATAACTGCTATATCTTAAAATCCTACAACACTGGATACTCTAAATTCATCCTTGGATCAAACTGTAGCTTAGACTGCACTAATTTGGGCTCAGAATTATGTTTAGAAGACTGAGCTTTACCATTATCATGTAAAGCTCTATGAAATTTGTCACTCATAAATTATAACAATCAGTGTAATTGTAAGACATAAGCTATGTAGACATTACTAAAATAATTTTCTTCATAAATATCCACGTGAAAAATTTTATCTTGGACTCAGCAACAATACAAGCTGTACAACTCCCAAACAAATTATTTGATTTTATATTTTGAACATTGTAAAAACTAGAACTAAAGTACTTTCTTGTTATTCTTACACTACTACTGGTCTATTAACTATACAATATTGAGTCTAATTTTATTCTTACCTTAGTTAATTTTCTGCCTTATTTTCTCTCTTCTCATTTGTCTACTTTAATTGGTTTGTACCAAATAAGGAAATTGAATTCAAATTCCCATATAGCATGCTTGAAGCTTTCTTTCATTATCAAGTCAGTTTTAAAAGGAAATGAATATGTGGAAACCACAGAAAACAGCATCCAAGAGCCAAGCACAACTCCATATGACTTATTACTCATTTCACTGCTAACTATGGAAGAAATACTGGGTTTTGTTCCATATATAGGACTTTTCTGTTAACTCACATTTCACAGAATTAACACTATGTGCTTTTCATGAAAAAGAAAAATACCAAACACTGGTCTGGTACAAATTACTTCACTGCTTCCTGGAGATGAATGCTCTGATAGAGCAGAAAGGAGAACCAAATTGGCCTCAATGGTAGAAAACTTCCCTCTTTTCACACTTATGTCCTCATTACTAAAGGCATTGCCTAGGTAAGAATCTGAGTCACTGAGACCAAAAGAATAGGAAGACTGCTGATAGTAACAGCTCTTCAGGAGTCAATTTTTTTTTTTAAACCAGTACCAGGGATTGAACTGACGACGCGCTTGCAAGGCAGGTGCTTATGCCACTGAGCTAAATCCCCAACCCCCAGGAGTCAATTTTTAATGCTTTACTTGGTTCCTTGTTTAAAAACTGGCCACCCCATTCTATATTTACTCATCTACCCACAAGATGGCTGGGTAAGGCCTTGCCATATGCTCAGAGAAGAAAAACTCTGAATATCCAGTGAAATTTGGGTAACAGTAAGGTAATCGTGGGCAATATTAGCATTGTAAGAGCCATTTTATCTAAAAGAAGAACAAACATGATGCATTAGTATACAGATATCCTCACTTGCATAAATATTTGCATTTTTAAATGGTCTTGGTTTTAGATTCGCCATATAGCACTGGCAGCTGAAGTCAATCAAGTGTGTGTGATTCCTCAACAAAATACTGGCAACAACATTTTAGGTTAATTAAAGAAGAATTAAGGGAAATGCACCAAAAAAAACCCCATCATCCAACTGAAGATTGGCTGGGGACCACGGATTATAAATTGAGTGTAGATGTCCATGTGATGCTCTTTGAGCCAGACTGGAATGCAGAGACTCCCTGCTTTCTTCTAGTCACAGCTGAAGCCCTACTGTAGCTAGAGATGCTGTGGTGCTCACAGGGCAGGATAAGACCTGCTGGGAACAATAGGGAGTTTCAAAGTAATGTAGTAACAATAGTACATTGTTTTCACTGAGCAACTACAGTCTTCTCATGGTCTCGACTCATCCTAGCAAAAACACTCTGGTCTTCTTGCTAGTCCACCATAATTGCCATTACTATTCCCAGAAACACTCACTACCCTTCACCTATTGTGCCTGACAGATGTAATCAATAAATATCAGGTTCTGGCTGCCTTATAGCCTTTTGTTCACTGTGAACAACTGATCAACCCAGCTCTCCACTGCTCCATCTTTTGTCTCTGCTCTTTGTTTTGCCATGTGCTGTAACACCTTAGGGGAGACTGGGGTCTACTGCAGGGGTTCCCAGTAAAGATTAAGGCTAAAAGTTAGGTATGGGGGTACACTCCTATTATCCCAGAACTTGAGAGGCTGAGACAGGGGAATCATTTACAAGTTCAAGACCAGCCTGGGCTACAAAGCAAGCCGAAGGCCAGCCTGAACTGCATAGCAAGACCCTGTCTCAAAAAGACAAAAAAACCAACCAACCAGCAAACAAACAAAAACACAAGATCAAGGTTAAATAAAGCCAAACGGTGCCATGTACTTATAGTTAACATTATTGTATGATACACTTAAAGTTTTATTAGGAGGGTAGACCTTCTAGTACTGGGGTCTCACTCTTGCTTTCATTCTTTTTTTTTTTTTTCTTTTCAGCACTGAAGATGGAACCCAACGCTCTGCACATGCTAGGGATTATTCTGTCAATAAGCTACATCCCCAGCCCTTTTTGAAACAGGCACTCACTGAGTTAGTCAGCTGGTCTTGGACTTGCAATCCTGCTTCAGTTTCCCAAGTAGCTAGGATAACAGGATTGTGTCATCATGTCCAGCAAGTGTTCTTACGGCAATAAAGTAATTTTTAAACAATGGTGATTGTTAGAAGACTACCATTGACTATGAAAAGTACAGAACCGTCTCATGCTTCTCAAAGCTGTCTTTGGTATCTGCACCTTAGTGTAGAGCAATCAGTTTACCCACGTTTACTTCACCAGTCACCAATATACACATTTCAAGTTGTAACTATCTTAGCAACAGAAACAGGTTTTTATAAAAGCCAGTATGTTCCTCTTGCTAACAAGCTCCTTTTTCAGAAACAGATGCCCTTATTTTACTCTATTGACTAGAAAATAACCAATTGCAAATGAAAATGAATAAAGTAGTAAAGGAAAGCCCATTGTAAAAACCACACATAGATTTTCCCCCATACAAATTTGTTAAATACTTCTTAATAGCCTTATTAGTTCATTTTCATAAAAAGAATATATAATAGTCCAGTAGCTTTAGTACACTATGTATGTCAGAAGTCAGTTTTTACTTGTTTGAAATATTACTTTCATAAAAAAAGCCTACTAGTCAAAACTTATTTAAAATTGAAATTCAAACTTGACTACAAAATTATTGTTTTTCCCTGCTAGTTTAATCTCAGCACAAGATACCTACTTTCACCTTCATTTTCATCAGTGTCCAATGGGAGATATACAAATAATCCTCCCAAAAATTCATTTCTAGGAGTTCCTAAAATCTCTTGACCATAATCTATGTTAAAAACATTTTTCAATTCCTTACGTTGCCCTCTAAAAAGAAGTAACCCTAATTCATAACTTTTATATCCAGTAGTTCTTAGTTTTTGGTGTCTAACTAAAGAGCACCTTCACCCTTACGAAAACCATTGATCCATGCTCTGTGATATGGCATCCTCAGTAGACCATTTCAAAAGCATCCAATGTGATTTCACTTACGAGAGGTTTTGGAAGCCAGAAGAGTAACTCTAGAGCCTCCCAGGAAGCAGAAGCCCATCACATTCACCTGGTCATCATCTGGCTGGCTAGAAAAGCCTAGAAGAACAGGAAAAGTCACCTTAATAACCACAAGGTAAGTCAACACTTAACATTTTAAAATACAAACTTAATTAAATAAGCTTTTATTTTCACTAGTCATATTTAAACTCTATATATGAGCTATAATGCAGTATATTAGCCTGATTTCCACAGTAGCTTCTAACTGCTGGAATTTCTGCCACACAATAACCCTACAGGATGATTCATTTTCTTTCTTCTGGTGGCTAATTCCAACTCTGAATCAGAACATACACAAGATGAACCACAGCAGAGGGCACAGAAGCCATCAGCAACTAGCAGGATTATACGAAAAAGGTTAGAAAGCCAACATAAGGAGACTACCACTGGCCCCAGACAAAATTTCATGACTATCAAAGAAGATAACAAACAAAGCTATTATTGAAACATAAAAAGAAAAACAAATGCCACTATCATAGGATACTAAAATACCAATGTTATTTAAAGTACACATGTTCCTTGAATTCCAATGGGATTATGTCCTAATAAATCCATCATAAGTTGAAAATATCATAATTTGGAGATGCATTTAATACACTTGGCCTATCACATATCATGGCTTAGCCTTGCCAATCTTAACTGTGCTTATTAACTAACTGACATTAGTTGATAATTTGGAAATAATCAGCTAATGCAAAGTCTACTTTATAACAAGGAATTGATTATTTCATATAATTTGCTGAACACTGGCAATTAACACCCCACTGTACATGCACTGCTTACCCTCATGGCTGTGAGGCTGAGTAGGAGCTTCAGCTCACTGTAGCTCCACATGACAAGAGTATCATCTTACAAATCACTAATCTCGGGAAAGATCAAAATTCAAAATTGAAGCTGGCTTTCACTAAATACATATAACTTTCATGTCATTATAAAACCAAAAAATCATTCATCAAACATCCTAAATCACAATTGTTTATATTTTTAAAAATCATGATGCAAAAGGACCAAGTATTTTGTTCCAACAAGCCTACTCAAACTATACCACTTTGAATTTAAGGAAAGGTTCTCTGTATGAGACTATACCAGCTAAAAACTGAAGAAAGCATGAAAAAAACCAAGATATCACCATTTTTTGGTCACCAGGAAACAAGTGGATCTCAGCATTAAATATCAATGACATCAAACACAAAAAAGACAAACAGCCTGATAAAAGTATATACTAACTACCATCAGTGAATATCTCTGTCCAAAGTAATTCTGCCCTTACAAGGCCCAGATCCAACTATCAGTTTTACAGGCAATATGACAAAAGAAAATATGAAGCAACATCACAGAGGATAAAGGACATAACCAACGTGGTGAAATCAGGTGTTATGGTTTGTGTCTGAATGTCCCTCCAAAGTCTCATGCCTTCATAGAGGTGGCAGAATCTAGCATTTGTGATTGGTTTGTTGTCTAGCACTGGGATTGACAGTGTGAGTGCTGCACACACCCAGAGGCTGACAGCCAGGGTGCAATATAAGGGAAGGAGGTGTGCTTTTCCCCTTTTGCCCTCTTCCCTCGTGTCACCTGTAGCCACCATCAATGATTGCTCTTTAGTCACACCACTCTGTCTTGGAGCCAGCTAACATGGACTGAAACTTCCAAAAACCATAAGCTAAATAAAGTTTCCCTCCCTTCATTTTGGCTGTCAGGTATTTTGTCTCAGCAAGGAGAGTAAAGTAACCAAGACACTAGGCTTCATCTTTGTAAAAAAAAAAATAATAATAATTACAGAAAAAAGGAAAGACAGAAAATTTTTCACAAATCAAGATCACCTTAGAAGAGGTCAAAGGCAGATTTAAGAATCAGCAGCCACAAGGAGAGCATAACAAATGATACCAGCACACCTGAGATGCCTACACATGCTTGGAAAAGAGAAGAAAAGGAAATATTACCGGGATCAGTCATGCAGTTTGAGCTGCCCAAACCAAGTGGTTTGCTGTACTTGGACACCAGCATCTTTTGCCACTAAAATAACCAGCAGTAACTCCTTCCAGGGAACCCCATCAGGGCGACCAGATGTATACACCCTTGCAGTAGCACCACAAGACAAAGATGCTACTTCTCCCACATCCTAATGTGCTTCTAACCTGAGCCACACAACCTAGTGAATGCGCACACTCAAGAAGTAGGCTCTGTGGCTGTATAAGGCCTGCTCTTACCGCAGATGCTTGGAGCCACTGCCATGACTGCCAGATATGGAAGCCAAGGTCTCTTCCTCAAAATTCAGGAGTATTTCTCAGCCACCACTTCAGCAACTATAAAGAGCAAGGTCCCAACTTGTACACAGAGCCTAAGTAACTCTGCACACACCATGATCTCATCTCTCACTTCACAGATCTTCACAAGCAGCAAAACCACGTATACAATTACCACTAAGAAATAAGGTTAACAATGTCCAGAATGCCCTGGAACCCAGAGATACAGCCAGATACACTTTGTACCTGGCTTCATGGCCACTGAATAGGTATTATTCATCTAAGGGTGGGTCCACAAGTCAGGAGTCCTCTCATTCATCATTTGCCTAGTGGAACATAACATTTGAAAAAACCTAGCTGCTATTGTCACAAAAGATACCCAATACCTCTCATTGCTGCTGAAAATACAAACAGAGCTGGAAGCTGAAGATACCTGCAGACCTCACCCACATGAACCACAGCTGACCGTGGTACACGGGGACAGTTTGGGTATGCCTTTCACAGAGCCTAAAATTTCTTCACCTGATCCGGCCAGCACCCTCCTACTCTCCCACAGGGAAACCAGCACACACTCAAAAAGAACATAAAGCTCCAAAAATTGCATAGGATTCAACATAAGTCAAGACAACATTTAAAAGGAAGAAACACATCATCACCAAAAGATTGCAATGCCAAGTGAAGAATTTAAAAATACTTGACAATGTTACACAAAAAAGCAGTTTAAGTTACAAAACAATAAATGAACAAAATGACAAGTTTAACCAAGAGAAAGAAACCACATAAAAATCTGAAGCTAAAAAATACAATGAAGGAAATGAAAAATAAAACAAAAATATATAGCAGAAATAAGATGAAGAAAAAATTTTCCAACTTCAAGACAGTGTATTTGAAAATCCACAGTGAAAGGAAAAGAAAGGATAAAAAAATAAAGAATACCTACTGGGTTCAAAAGTCAGTGTCAAAAGACTTACTATAAATAGAATACAAGATGCAGGAGGAGAGAGAAAAGGATAGAAAGTTTATTTAAAGAAAGACTAGCAAGAAAAACCTGTAAGAAGATATAAGAATCCAAATAAAAGAGATTTATATCATCTAAATCAGAAAATGTAGGGGATGGTGAAATGAAAATTTAGAATTTTTGTTTGCAATGAAAATTAACATGAGAACAGTTTAAAATTGTGTGTAGGGCTGGGGATTTAGCTCAGTGGCCTAAACACCTGCTTTGCAAACACGAGGTCGTAAGTTCGATACCCGGTACCAAAAAACAAAAAATGTGCCAACAAAAATATCTTTTTAAATGTAAATCACACAGCAATCACAAAGTAAAAAAAATACTACATTCAAAAATGGTAAATCAGAAATTAAAGCATATAACTACAGAAAGTAGCTAATTACAAGTGAATATATCAGTAGAAAAAGCAAAGAACAAAAGATTTACAACACACTCGAGAATAAAAGATGAAATGGCAGTGGTCAGTCCTAACAATAACTATTTCAAATACAAATGCATTAAATTCTTATAAAATGACATTCTAAAGAAAATACCAAATGATATGGTGCCTACAAGATTCATTACACCTCTGGCAACACATACAGAATCAAAATGAAGAAGTAAAAGGTGGCATATACTTCAGTGGTAGAGCACTAACCTTGCATGCAGTGAGGCCCTGTTACTGGTTCCCAGAAATAACAAAATCACTGTTAAATAAACAGCCACAATTAAAAAATTTTAAGACATGTACACTTCATGAAAATGAATGCACCAATGTTAAGTTGAAATATTTTTAAAAAGTCAAAGAACATAATGTATTATGATAAAGGGATCAACTCATCAAGAGGATACAAAACATAAATGTATATAGACACATCACAAAAGAAATTGGGAACAAGGAATAATATGCAATGGTATAAGGCTTTAAAAAAAGTCCTATTATTATTATTCAAAAAACAAAAAATCAGTAAAACATGGAGCTTGAGCTACACTTAAACCAAATGAATCTAGACACACATGGAACATTCCACTCAACAGAGGCAGAACACGCTTTCTTCTGAGGTGCATATGGCACAATCTGTAGGATACATAGTATTTTAGAATACAAAACAAGTCTTAACAAATATAGATTAAAATTATATTTTGTGACAAAAATGGTATAAAATTAGAAATCAACAATAGTAATTTTATTAAAAGTAAATCCAGTGGGGCTGCAGGTTTAGCTCAGCGGCATAAGCGCCTGTCTTGGAAGTAGGCAGTTGTGAGTTCGATCCCTGGTACCGATAAAAAGGAAAAAGAAAAAGACAAAAAACAAACAAACAAACAACTAAATCCAGTGTACTTTTTGATCATAATGGTAAAACACCAAACATCAATAATGAGGAATTTTGAAACACTTGCAATCACAGAAATTAAGCAGAAAGAATCTGTTATGGTTTATGTCTAGCTCTCCCCACCAAAGCTGCATGCAGTCAGGTAAAGCTTTTACAGAGGTTCCTGGATCTACAGTGAGTGTTACTAGAAATAGTTCTGGGTAGGATTAGGATGCTCCACCCTGGGTATGAGGTGAGTAGCCTTGATAAAAATATAAAGGACATAAAGAAAGCTGCAATTGTCTCTGGTAACTTGTAGGCTTCTGCATTGCTGCCTTCTTTCTTCAGCCTGCCATGATCTGTTTCTCCTCTGCAATGCTGCTTTGTCATGTCACCCTGCCCTGGAGCCAGGCAGCTATGAACTGAAAGCTCTATAAACTGTAAGCATATAACAATTCTTCCTTTCACTTTGGGTGTTGGGTATTTTTTCTC